TGATCGTTTAGCAGAAAGTTGGTCAAAGGATTGACCAACTATACCACACCATCTAGGCCTTTCATTTATTCTTATTTTCTTACTAAGTCACTTTAAAATCATGTATCCTTTTATTATTGGCTTCCATAAAATAAGTGTTGGCCTGCATGCTCATGATTTGTTGACTAGCTAAGCAAAAAAAGTGTGAAATTTGTCTCCTTATTTAAAAAATTCTTCATCAATTATATAATTGGGCATAAAATTTGAAAGAAAGAGAGCCATATAAAGGAAAGAAAATACTTGAGACGGCGGCTCAGCCCCCTCTATCTTTCAATCTTTTAATCAATCATTAGTAATTATTACTCAACTTTCTACCACCATTCCTCACATTCAACGTATTCCTTAATCTATTAATTCCAATAGCCTCTTATCTTGCGTTTCGTAGCAGACATACCATACTCATGTCCATGTCCAGTCTCCGTCATGTTCCGTCACTTCTGGCAATCCGACCCAGCTATCTTTACAAGCATTTTTTGTGCTTCACTAACCTTTGGCGAATCGGCCGACAGGTCGACCACTGGAGCATATAGTTTTGTAGCAGCCAGATCTTGATAGTGGGTCACATTTTTCCCTGAAAGAAGGCATGATCAAGGAAAGTGTTAGTTTCTTTGAAAACTGTCGTTATCTCCCACTTCCTCACTAGGAATGTGACGATGTTCGTCATATGGCGAACGAAAGCTTAACCCATCATTATGCGAAACGTTGGAGGATGTCTCGTGGACTGTATAAACCTGAACTTCGAATTAGGGCCAAACTGCTGCACACCGCGAGTCAGCCAGTGTCTTCTGGTTAGATTGATCTACGAAACTCTTCACTATCTGCTTCAATACGAAATGAAAGTCTTCACAACAATCTTCTCCCAAGAGATTTTTTGAAACCCACATATACACACGCAGACACCCTCAAGTATATGTGAATCAGCCAAAACCTTTCTATATCCATCTATATCTTAAAGTTTGCTCGCAATGAGTATATATATGATACAGAAAAAGCCGGACAGTTTTATTCATTTATCGTTGGAGTTTTTGCAAGAATGAGTCCCAGCTCTGACGACGTTGTCACATGACGAACGAAAGCTCAGCCATCCTTTGCCTGAAACGTTGGAGGATGTCTCGTGGACTGCATCAACCTGAACGTCGCATCAATGTCAAAACGGCTGCAATACAATGCGAATCAGCCAGCGTCTCCTGGTAAGACTTACCAACGAATTTCTTCGCCATGTACTTCTATACGAAATGAATTTCTTCATAACAATTTTATCTAAGGGGATTTTTCGAAACTCTTATTTTCTCCGTAGATACAATTTACGAATACCTAACAATCAACAGGTGCCTCTAAATGAAAAGTCTATTCATAATCAATTAGCCCACAATCTACAAGCTAAATACCTAAATATCATTTTTAAAATTTCGAGTAAGAGATATATCACAAGTATATATGAAGACACACAAACTCATCAATAAAAATAAAAACCTAGATAAAGCTCAAATTCTCACTCTATCTTCGCTATTAGGGACTGCGGACCCATTGAAGTCGTAAAAACTCCCTCTGTAAGTGGAACTTCCTCGGTCCTAAGTGTCATAATATCAGCTTCCCAAGTACCAGAGCTGGTTCTAAAATCCAAGGCTCTCGCAGTTTCAGCAGGGGATGAATCAGGAGGCGAGTGGTTGGGAATGATCTGCATCATCTTGCTGACTACGGCAGTTAGAGCCTGGCGGAGGCTCGTAGTACGAGTAGTGCTGCCAGTGGTCGAGCTGAGTGGCAAGGATGGATCAGCTGGGGATTCGGGTGCCCCTGAGGATCTACAGCTAGCACCTGTTATAAAGCTGGCCACCGCATCTGGGGAGCCCACAGCGACAGCAGTGGAACGGAGTAAAGAGGAGGAGAGCAGGGGCGAGCTGAATGATCCCGAAGAAGTAGAGGAATCTGAATCCACTTGCTCTTCGTCATCCTTAATACCATTTTCAACCTTTTTTGATGAAATACAAGCAGGCATTAGCTTATTTATTTTTGTTGTGCCCACCATCGAATCACCTTCTAGCCGGTGATGATTCGTGAGATCCCATCTTAAGGGATGATGACTTGGCTTTTCTGAGTTGGGCACCGAGAATAATTTGGGTTTGGCACGACAAAGTTTTTCTAAATAAATTAATTCAAAAATTTTAAAATTTTATCGAAGGTATGAAAAACACTATCGTTGGACTTTTACTGTAGTACTGGTCTCCTTTCGCTGTATAGAAGTGGTTTAGTCTAATTTTTGGTCTACGGCCAGAAGCTGTAAAGTCTACTATGTCAGAGGACTTCGGACAAGTTTGAGTCATCTAAATCTCAATGCGAATATGATCAAGTTGAGAACAAACTCGAATCTAAAGTTATTGAGTAAGATTAGAATAACCCGACAAAATTGCTGATTTTTAATGAGATGAAAAGGTAGGCAAGTAAGATTATTGGATCTAGCATAAATATGAATGGAATTTTTTCCTTCCTTACATCTGATTGATTTCTCAGGCCCAAATCTTCAACACAAAATTAAAATCAAACCAACTTGTTTTAGAATAAAATGAGAACAGTTTGAGAAAGTTGCAAAATTCTACTGTGTTATTTTTTAAAACAACCGCTTCATAACAAATTCCACCATCATTTTTACAATTATTTTTTAATATTCAACGCTGACATTCTGATTGATATTAAGTACTTCGAGTCCAAGTAAATAATGAAATTTAGTGTAGAAGTATTCCATAGCTTCAATGGTGGGAATATTTCTAATTTATTAACTTCAAATATATCTGCATATTCCTCATTTGATAACCAGCTGAAGGTAATGTAAAGCGTTTGAATAAAAAGTATTAAGAGAACTGGCATAGATTAATGCTTCCGAAATATCTTAATGGAAGTTTAAGGGTAGGCTAGTAGATCTTCGAAAAGTAAGTATTTTGGCCGAAATATCCTCAGGTCTCATTCTTCAGCGATGACTCCACTACTATCAAAAGTCAAAGTCAAGATCGGGTTTCTCTTAATCTGGTTGTCTTTTGGACTTACAATGATTTCCATATGAAGCGCAAAACGCTTCTAGCCCTTCCAAGGCCTTCAGAGAATAAATAAAACAAAAACAAAAGCTAACTAGTGGGCAAGAGAATAGATAGGCGATACTATTTTACTTGAAAAGCCCATTAAGGATATCCTCGGTTGTGGTATGAATATTCATTTCGAAGGGAAAGTTGGTTGGAAGGAATTCGTGATGTGGTATCACCTGAAAGCGAAGGAGGATTGCCGCGTAGGGAAGACTAACGAATTTGACAGACAGCATCAGAGCAAGATTCAATACTTTACATAATAAAGCAAAAATATGCTAAACCAAGAGAAAAGG